AAACAAAACAAGCTAAATACACATTTTAAAAAACATATTTGTTTTTGTTTTTTTACTGTTTTTTTTGCCAAAATATTTTTTATGTGTCTTTATAATTCACACACTCATGCTACATCACATAGGCAGGCCATTTCCTCTTCCTCTGTTACCTATCTGATCAATGGACAATTACTCACCAATGTAACAACGCTGAATTATTGTCCAATGAGCAATGGCCAGTAAAGAGACAACATAAAGGTGCCCACACACCTTACAATTATCTGCAGACTTTCTGTGGTCAGATGGAAAAGGTGGAACAGATTCCTCCATCTACACTTAAGGCTCTGTTCACACCTAGGCGTATCAAATATGCGCGTTTGTCGTGCGTTTCGTGACACGCGTTTTTACCGTGATTCGCGGTTAAAAAAATGCGCGTTTCCAAGGGCTACTTGGCTGTATCCCAATGGAAACGCGCGACAAAAATGCAGCAAAGAAGCTCATGTATATGAAATAAATCCGCGCTAATTGAGAAAAAAGTAAACAATGCCGAAAGTATCCTGGATCTAGGGTTAAAAAGCTGCCAGACAGAGGTTTAGGTTGGGACCTCACAGGATGTAGGGTAAGTGTACAGCGCTATCTAACCTCCCCAGTATAAACTCTAAATGTGAAAGTAATCCACCACGTGACAAAGATTTAAAGTGATCCGTGTATTTAAAGCTACACTATTGTATCATAAGAAAAGTAGCGTGAACAGGGTATTTAATGAACCCGTTAGTAAAAAGCAACGTGAGTAAATCACAAAAAGGACATAAACATATGTATTAAAGCTTCACTATTGTGTCAAAAAGAAATAACGTGAACAGGGTATTGGATGAACCCATTGATAAAAACAACGTGAATAAATCACAAAAAAAGACACCCTTAAATAAATTCCTATAGGTGTAAAGTGAATAGATCACATCTAAAATGTGACTGCTGGAGAGTGACTGGATAAATACTAAAAAATGATGTGCTGGTGTTAAAACGTGTACTTGTATAAATGAATAAGTGTAATAAAAGAAAAAACACAGTTTTAAACTTGCAACTAAATGCTTAACTCTTAAAAGTGAAACCAAATATCAAATCCATTGCAACAGTAACATCAAAAGCGGAAAAACGAAGAAGAAAAAGGAGAAAAAAAGAGATTTCCCGCGTCTTGGGTTGTGCACTCCCCAGAAGTTCAGCTAGTGGTATGTGGCTGTCCGGATAGTCTGGATAAAATCCCAAAAGATGAATAAACCTCCCGAGTGTTTCAGAGGCAGAGCCAATCAGTTCAAAAATGTTTAAGATCCTCCCAAATTCGACTCTAGGCAACCTTCATGTCCTTCAGCCGTTTGTTGTCCGGACCCGATCAGAGTTCCGTTTACATGCAAAAAAAGATCTCCATGAGGTGGTAAAAGGATTTATCGAATAAAATAATAAGTAGTAACTCGCATATAAAATTGAAGTGGCCGGCCCGCAGAAACTATAAAACAGCTCCCGTCTCCTCAAGGGATAAAACCCGATCTCATCTAGCCCCGCCCCTGATGTTTCGTCATACGACGTCCTCAGAGGGTAGCAGGTATAGATGAGTATGTCTGAGTGCAGATCTTATACTCGAGGGGGGCAAAGCATCCGCCCTGGGAGCCAATTATGTTAATTTTAACCCCATAGGTTCCTTCAAAATACAGTAAGGAATATACAAAAGTGCAAGCTCATGTACCTTTTCAGGCGTAGGCCGTTTTGTAGCGCGTTCAGACGGGCTGAAATACAGCAAGGTGTGGACCATACCCATAGAAAACAATGGGATTTTCATGTTTGAGCGTTTGTGTAGAGCGTTCGTAGAGTGTTGAACGCGCTACAAAACGTACAGGCCTAACTGTGTGGATGGAATAATCTCCACCTGGGCCAAGCTTCAGTATGTTGTTAGTCTGCCCCGCTGGCTCCCAAAATACCTGAACAGTCTGATTGAATGCAGGCATTGTTCAGGTGTTTTGAGAGCCAGCGGGGCTGACTAGCAAGATACTGAAGTTTGGCCCAGTGGGAGATTCCTCTATCCACGCAGTTTAGCGTAGATGGAGGAATCTGTTCACTTTTTCCATCTGACCAGAGAAAATCTGCAGATAATTGTAAGGTGTATGGCCAGCTTAAGAAGTTTCAAAGCTGAAACAGGAAATACAGTTGCTACTTGCCGGCCTGTGAAGTATGACAAGTCTGTGCAAATAGCAACTGACTGAACAGAATTACAGATCTTTTTGGTGGGTGAATCATTCACATATGTGAATTTCAACTGTGTTTTCCTCTTTCTGTGGAGGTCCATTTTAATGTAGTTGTGAAATAATAATCTATATGAAACATCATCTTAAAGTGTATGTCCAGCCAAAACATTTTTTCTTCGTTTTGAACAGTGGGGGGAAGAATTAAAACCCATGTCGGATGTTGTACTGTTATTCAGGGCACTATTCTAGAGATTTCCCCTTACTTCCTGTTCTGCTGACAGTGTTTTACCAGCCAGAAAGTGAGGAGAATGCTCCAACAGCAATACAGACAAATACAAATGGAGAAAGGAAATGGAGTAGGAGAAAGCTAGAGCCTATGTCAGATTTTTTCTGTCTGTCCCTGTTGGTTAGTTTTCCCTCACTTCCTGTTGTCAGTGGGACAGAAAGTGAAAGAAAATCTCTCAGAGCTCCGCATTACAGTAAAACCATTTTTGGCTTGACATACACTTGGATATCAAGATACCCATCTTATGTTATTACTGGAATTTATATTTATTTAAAATAGAAAGTACACATCAAAATTATTTATTTAAAAATCTTTGTTCTATCTTGGGTAATCCCTCCTTCCTCCCGACCTTTGAAAACCCATTGGCGTTTGGTTGGTGGGCTCGGAAGGGTGTCCCCACGTCCACTACCTGCTTTCCCTAGATGGGATTAAGTATTTTCATTATCTGCATGCCCACTGGCAGATCCCCGTCTCAGAAAACTTTCGATACCTTCAGATACAGGGTTACGTTTGCTCACTTCTCAAACATTGTGAGGGCTGCCCTTGCACCATTACCCCATTTGAATCCTTCTGTAAATCAAACCCTCTTTCGGCTGGGCTCATATCTATGCTTTATACTGCCCTGGTGCCTTCGGTGGGGGATTCTAAGCTTCCATACATGTTAGCTTGGGAGCGGGATCTCGGTGAGTCCTTGGAGTTCCCAGTTTGGTGTGATATTTGGCTTTCTGCAGCGAAATGTTCTTCAATATCCTGGCCCAAGAGAACGCTCACAAAGTGCTATTCCATTGGTATATGGTGCTAGATAGGATCTCCAGGTTTGCGACCGGAGCTTCCCCTCAGTGCTTTTGTGAATGCCCTGCTTGGGCACAATCCTGCACATTTGGTGGAAATGTCTGAAGGTGCAAAGGCTGTGGATACGGGTCTAGAACTTGCTAAGTTTTCTGTTGCTCTTTTGTGCAAAACCCTGGAGGCTTTACTGGGTAGGCCTGTCACTGAGCTTTCAAAGAGGAAAAGAGAATTGGCCTCCCTTATCTTTTTAGCTACCCTTGAGACTATTGCGAGAGCATGGAAACAACCGACCTTGAGCTTTTTGGAGCACAAGAATTATGGTGCACGAGAAAATCATGACTGTTTTGAATGGCACTTATTCCTCTTATTTGAAACTTTGGTTTCCTTGGCTGGACTATGTTCGCCCACTGGAATTAGACCATTCCCTATTCTCTCTTTGATGTTCCTTATTGGAGGCTTGATGGCTCTCTGTGGCCCCCTACGCAGTACTTCCCTTTTGTCCTCTTCCTTCTGTTCTTCTTTTTCTGCATGTTGTTGTCTTTTTGTGTCGCCTGCAACCGAGACTACTAACATTACCTATTGTGGCAGCTGATGGTCACTATGTTTCCCCAGGTTTAGTACTTGTTGCGAGGCTCCGGCAGCGGGGTTAATGTTATCAAGTTTTTTTTTACCCATCTGTTGTTTTTTGTTTTTCTTTCTTTGTGTTTATCCTTTTATTTTTGTACATATTCCCTGCTGGTTACCCTGTACCTCTTCTTATTATGGTTGTATTACGTTTCTCTTATTTCTTTTGTCTTGTATTTGTTGTTCTGACATATATTTGTCTGTCCTATATTTTTACTTTCACAATAAAAAAAACTTTTTTTGTACCTAAAAATCTTTGTTCTAAGCTATATTCAGAAACAAGTTATTTTAACCACTTCAGTCCCCAGGCCATTTTCTCCCTAATCCCCCTGAGTTCCATTTTTTTCTTTTTTAGTGATCTCGTTTTGTCGTTTACCCCAACTTATTATACACTTGGGGGGATTTATTTAAACTGGAGCAGACAGAATCTGGAGCAGATGTCATTAGCAATCAATCAGCTTCTCTCTATAGTTTGTTTAGTTAAGCTTCAAAACTGAAAGAAGCTGATTGGTTACTATAGATTCTTACTCCAGATTCTGTCCCAGTTTTGATAAGTCCCCCTCATTGTTTTTTGGGGACAGATAGGGCTCTAATTTGGTAGCAAAATTGGATACATACATTTAATTTTCTTGGTTTTTATTGGGAATAAAGAGAAAAATATTAGAAAAAGCTTTCCAGTACGGGGACTGCAAGATGCTAATACCATATCAAATTCAGGTATTTACTCAGCTTTCATTTAAGAAATAAGTTAATTACATATTACAAATGCACAGCTATAATAATGTGTGTCTTTTATATTTGCCTTGAGTTTAGGTTTAATTTTTAGTTGCGCATGTCTCCATTGTCTGTATATTAAAGCACATCTCACAAGTCACCATCCCTGGTCTCTATGACTTATATGATTATATGGATTATAAACCTTGAGTAGCCTATGTTCCTTAACAACATTTATTAACCTTCGGTAAAAGACTCTTCTATGCTCTGAATACTGTTGCAGCTATTTATTACTGGAACATTTATAATGGGATACCGGGTCTATCAAATGGCTAATTTTCTATATCAGCTCTGTGTTCTCTTCATTGCAGGTGAAAGTTATGTCTGTGCCTCAAATGAGTCTTTCCGGAAGGTAGACTACAACAGAAATGCTAATCCAAACTGGTCTGTGAATGTAAGGACTGGATCAGCTCGCTCTCTGTCACAGTTAACCACACTGAAGAATGAGATGAAGGAGAGTAAGGACTTTATCAAACCCAAGCTGGTGACGGTCATTCGGAGTGGAGTAAAACCACGCAAGGCTGTTCGCATTCTCCTAAATAAGAAGACAGCGCACTCCTTCGAGCAAGTCCTAACGGACATCACAGATGCTATAAAGATGGATTCAGGGGCTATCAAGAGACTGTGCACACTAGATGGAAAGCAGGTAAATATTTGAAACCTTCATACAGGTATATTGGCAACAATGCATTGTGGGTAATTAGAGTTTACATTGGATCTGTTTAGTGGTATGCCAACTGTCCAGGTTGCCAGTGTGCTTATATAACCAAACTTTAAAGCCCTCAAATGGCTGGTGTCATAGCTAGCCACATGTGCAGCACCATGGCAACTGCAATCGAAACAGAGGCTAAGATGGCAGATTCCTTGGCTATAAGGGACATCTGGTTGTAGTTCTGTTGTCAGCCCAACTCTTTCCAAAGCATTTTTTTTGTTATGTATAGAAGCTTAAACATGTCAGGTTTTTATTGCTTAAACAAAACTGAAAATTAGGTGCTGGTACAGAGTTAAAAAGGGGTAGGTTATGCCAGGGTAGTGAAGCACTTGTTGACCCTGACATAACCTTCCCCCTTTTAAACCATTCCAAGCAGAGAACCACACATCAGTCTGAAATCTGCTTATCTGAATCCATTTAGACACAATCCACATTCCTGAGCTCTGATGAAGGGTGAGTGTGGGTAGCCCCCAAAACGCGTGGGCTGTGTTTCTGTGAACAAGTTTATCATTAAAAACTTTGGACTATTGGAGATTTTTGGTGGTCCCATTAAAACTGTATATAGGTTTATAGGTTTTTATAGGTTTTAGGTTTTTTAGCTGTCTTTGACCCAACTGGAGAGTTTTTTCATGTTTTACTGAACATATAACACCAGATGAAGAAGTTAGGAGGCTAGTTGTTATAGGGTCAGGAAGTCTCTTACAGGTGTACAGTGCTAATAGAGGTTCTATTGGGGGGCGCAGGAGGGAGCCGCTGTCATAGCAGTGTGGCCAAGCGATGAGGAGAGAGAACCACTCGTCCAGGATCTGAGAGGCGGCGGCTCTCTCTCCTCATTGCTCGGCCATGCTGCCGTGACAGCGGCTCCCTCCTCCGCAACCCCCCGCTGTCGCCTCGGATCCCCGCTGCCTTTGCCTGGAAAAGCAGCAGGGATCCAGAGTAAAAGCTGCAAGCTGAGCCCCCCTCTGTGCGTGGCCGAGCGGCGGAGGATCGGTACATATCAGCGATTATGTACCGATCCTCTGTGCAGTGCAAACTCTGGATCAATCAGCTGATCACTACAGTGTTTGTAAATAACTGGGAACACATAGTACTTTGTGTCCCCAGTTATGAATGAACAGGAAGTGCTTTAAATCACTTCCTGTTCATTCATGAGTTTCTCAATGGGGAGTTGCACATCTCCCCATTCAGAAACTGCTTGATAGTAAATATTTTCTGAATGAATGAAATGCCTCTGTACTTTCCATTCATTTAGAACACAGGCTGCAGAAAAAGAGATTGAGGACTTTGTGTCCTTCATTTCTTTTTCAAGAGGGAAATATTGGGGTGCTGTTTAGACCCCAGATATTTTACTTGTGATTACCAAGCAATGACAAAACCTGGACTGGACAGCTACTAAGCTGATGGGATAAGAGCCCACCCTTCTCTCCATTATCCCAACCCCAGGGACCCATAACACAATTTATAAATTGCACAGCTAAATCATACTTTCCCTGGGGTTTTTAACTAAAAAGAGGGATGCAATCTAAAAGGCTTGGTCTTACATACCTCCCATGCTTTCTGTCACAATACATACACTTATGCAAGCATTGTGTAATACATATCTGCCAAACTACATAGCAGCACATGCCATGCTCTATGTATGTACCATCAGCAGAGAAAAGAATGGAGAATGAATTTAAATGTTATGTTTTACATCTGGTCAAGGCTAAAGCAGTTGCATGCCATTTGCTTTTGTTACATAATTGTACCAGCAACATTTATGCAGGTCTTCTGTTTGACTGCTTGTATCTGTGCTTTTACTCCCTTCTGATCAAAGGCTGGATGCATATTGGGAATTTATAAAATATATTCACATATGTTTACATATTTTACACATTACTGGTACGGTTCACCTCTGGTGCAGTTCTATATTTATGGCAGCTGCAACTATGCATAGCGTGCCATTTAACCCAGTTATTTACAACAGTATGCAAACTAATACACGTGCCAGATTGAAAATAAAAAGCAGGGTTTTTTTTGTTTGTTTCTACGCTATCACAATGGCAGCCTTTCTCATTGAATGCAGTATGATATCTTCCAAAATATAATGGGCTTTATTTTTTGTTTCATTCTGGCTAGCTAATGTTGCTAGGAGACACTATTAAAAAGGTCTTTAGTTTATTTCAGTCTGATGTTTTTGCTAATTGCATAGCTAAATAACTTACGGAGGCAACAAATAAAAGAAGCCTAATTTAAATAGTGAAGTGTGCAGCTACATATTCCCAACAATAGCAAAAATCATTTTGATTGTGTGCGTGGTCAATGACATTGAAAGAGACATTTGAAAAAAAAATATTTCAGTTTGCATATTTAGTTAATTTAATATTCAATATGTTATTAGTAGGGCATGCATTTGCTTTTTTTTGCTCTGAATATATTGTACAATTCATGGCTTCAGTAGCTACCCACTTTTAATTTAAAGTGGACCTGTACTTTAAACGTGAAGATCTGCTATGTTATAGGGAATATTTTGTCATGTTAAATGTGCCAATGAAGTATCTTGAAAAAGTGTCTCGACATTGTGTCTGGAATTTCTCCTAAAAAATAGCACTGTGCCTTCAGTATCATAGTTGTATATCTGCAGTGTGAGATTTTACAGGGAAGTGCAGTAGGTGAGGCATTCCCCTGCCTGCCCCCAACCCGGTCACCAAGCTATGTGTGGAGGGAGAAGGGAGGAGACGTGGAGGAGTACCTCACTTGCTCGTCACTGGTGAGGCATCAAGATCGATGTCCTCAGTGGGTTTTGGTTTTATTTTTAATTGGGCAGCTTGGACCAATGGCGCTTTGCCATTGGTGCAAACCATCTACAGAACTCAAGCCTCTTAAAAGCAAGTAGAGGCTGTTGCAGCTCTGGCTTCACTATGTTAGGTTACAGAAAGCAGCGGTGAAGTCCGCTGCTGTGTAACATAACATAGCTGTCAAAAGCCGGACAGGCAGCGCTCCATCCATGACAGCTTACAAAGCTCGGAGGCTTTCCCTGCTGTTTAACCTGTTAGAAGTCGGTCTGAATGGAGAAAAAGCTGTCAGCTTCAGACCCCTGACCGCACGTTCCTGAGGTCTAAGACACTGCTGCCTCTGCTCTGCCTAAAACCTTTCAGCCTAGCTGATACAACCTCACTGCAACAGATGCTTCTGAGAAAATTTCTGGCGCAGCTTCCCAATTGATGACACAATGCATTACTTTGATAAGGATTGGGCTCTTAGTGTTACTGTTTTGTGTTTTGTTTCCCCAAAGGGGAGATAAAAGGCACTATTCGCTGCCTGAAGTGCTTGTTTTAGGTACATAGTTTTCCCAATTTGTTGTAAAATGTCTGTGTAATGGAGCTAATCTTTTATTTTCTCAATGAGGAGACAGAAGGACGTTATTGAGCACCCATAAGCCACTTCTGTTTGTTGGGTGAGTCAAAAGACACATACCTCTGGGTTCTGAGTATGTTCAAGGGTGGTCAAATGGCCACCTGTCCTTCTTGGAGAAACATTGGTCAACAGGTATTTGTGTTAGTATTCCAGTATACCTTGACTGAGAGCAGCCAAACATTTGAATTTTTAAACGAGGCACAGATTAAACTGGTTTTGTCTAGTATCCTAATTGAAAAATGACTGAGGTGGGACTAGAAGTCAGTCTTGTTTATCATTGCTAGAATGGACAAAGTTACTAAGTAAAATTGGGTTCAGCATGAGCCTGCTTCGTGTTTTTGTTTTCTCTTCTCCTACTCATCCTACTATACAGTGGAGTCCACTCTGCGGTCCACCTTGCTTTTAATTTAATATATTGTGTTCTCAAATTGCTTACATTGTTTTCTTTTGATTTTTTTGTGCTGCAAAGATGTTAAACTCATGCGGAAACTCTCAGTAATTGCGTCTGTGAAGATTCTCATTCATTCAGGTCATGGTATATCTGTAAAAAATAAGTCAAGGCAACTGGACTTGCTGTATTTTTATTGAAGATGTTTTTCTTGAATGTCTTCAGTTGCCTTGACTTATTTTTTACAGATATCTCAGTAATTGCAACTCTTTCATGAAAAGAGAACAGATCGAGAACCCCAACCTAGGGTATTTAGAACTGGCATATCCAGAAAACTGAGCACGGACTAAACCTTTTTGTTTTCATCTTAGATCTGTGTAATCCACGCACACAAAAGGTTCCATTTTGTGCGAAGCTATCCTTTAAACAAGAATTTATAGCATTCCGGCAAATGACAGACCTGCAGAAATCTGCATGACAAATACACAATATGAACGAATATGTAAAATGAAGCTTCAGTTTGTACTGTTAAAATACCAAGTGAAATAAAAGGTCAAATGCAGGCCTGAGCAAAAACATCACTTCCTAGGGTAAAATATCCTAATTTATGGAAGTATTCCATATGCAAAGGTTGTTATTATTTGAGTCTTGCAATATACAAGCACAAGACCCCTCCAAGCTGTTCTGAAACATGCCTCAGCACTGAGCAGATTGTGTGAAAATGTAATCCACCAAACAAGGTTAGCTGCAGGAGATCAGGAACAAGCATGTTGAAAATGTAACGAGTTTAAGTAATGGCAGATGGGAACACAACAGTGACATCTTTTATGGAAATTGGCCAAGTATTTTAAAGCAAAGATATGTTGGTAAATCTATTAAAAGAAACAGCCTTATAGAATGTGTCTATTTCTCAAAATGCTAGGCTCTTATTTTGTTTACATGAGTATGATTACAGTGTGTAGGGTTGCTATTTCAACTTTTTTCTGTCTCATCCGTAAATCATAGAAAAAGCTATATCCTTCACTTAAGCAATAAGGCAAAAATTCACCATTCCTATCAATATTAATTACATGTATTTGTGATAATAAAATTGAACTAGTGAATAACAAGTAGTTTCTTTGGGTCTGCCATCTGAAAAGTTAGAATATTG